ATATATATATATATATATATATATATATATATATATATATATATATATATATATATATATATATATATATATATATATATATATATATATATAGATATATATATATATAATATATATATATATATATATATATATATATATATATATATATATATATATATATATATATATATATATATGTATTAAGTTCTAAATATGTATTATATAATAAATAATAATAATTTTCAATATGTATAAAAAAGGTATTTTTATGTAAAATATTTTCAGAGGGTATAATAAAATAAAAATGAAAATAAAAGTATTTTTACCTATTTCTCAATATTTTAATGAAATGTATATATTTATTCATCTAAATATTAATCAAAAGAAAATCATATAAATGCCTAATAAATTAAAAATGGTGAGGAAAAATATTTTTATATTTTTTATGTCATGAGAAAAAATAAACAAAGTCAATCAAAAAAGAAAAAGGTCAAAAAGTCAAAGAAATAAGCAAATGGGCCTTGGGGGTGTAAAAGCAATTAGCATGGTGTGAATAAGAAAAATACACAGGCCCAGCCCACAAGACCACTGTCTTCAACCTCCAGCAACAATATTTGAAAAAAACGCGCGCCCTGTTCCTCATCTTCCAACTCTTGATTCCTGGCTTTTTAGCAAAAACTCATAACATAAAAAATGTTCAGCATGAAGAGACGATTCTAACCATATGCATAACTTGATCTAACTCTCTAAGATGAGGGATAATTTCTCCTCCCCCAAATCCTAACCTAGTTTTTCTGCCATTTTCAAACTCCAAATTCTCACAACTCAGGCAAAAGAAATGAAAAGTAAAAACATGTACATGTTCAGTGGCATGAGTAGAACCTTGTTTCTTCACAAACTTAAAGCTAATGATGCCTAATAAGAGAGATACGAATTCAAAAACTTACCTGTTCAGTTGAAGTTCTAACTGGAGATGTAGGGACTTTCAGTGCAAGGTGATGATTGGAGAAGCTTCCTTGAGGTCCAGGGATGCTATTCCAATGTTTACTTTGTCTTGAAAGCTTCTGGATCAAGCAAGAGAACTTCACCTGCAAGTCAGAAATATGAAAATGGTGGAAGTGGTTAGAGTGATTACAGGTCGTGCTTTGGCTTTTGGTTAGCTTGTATAGATGGTATGGAAGTTGTATGAACTGGTTTTGGCAAGAATGCTTGAGAGAAAAGGAAGTTGGCACTCAAACTGCAGAGGCAACTCTGTTTTTGCAGTTTGATGGTGTTTTTTGGTTTGATGATGTTTGGGAGGCCAATGGCTCGTGCAATAGCTTGGTTATGATGTTTGTAATGTGTTTGATAACTTTGTTCTTGTGTTTATAAGTTGGTTTCTGAGTTGGTATGAGTTATGCACTTTTCTTGAACTTGAAGCAAACAAAAGCCACTTGGTCTTTTAGGTCAGTAGGGGACCTCTAATCCTGCTGCAAAGCTTCTCTTGATCAGAGTAATTTTGTTCATAATCTTGTGCCAAAGAGATTTTATTTGTACTTGCTTGATTTACCAATTGGACATAAAGTGAACTTTTGCAAAAATGGATAGTTTACTTTATCTAAAAATGGATCAATCTTGTGTACAATACTTGAACTCATAGAATAACACTTTGACACAATGAGTAAGCATTAAATTATTGAGTGTAACTTGGTTTAAGGACCTGTAATCTATCTCAAAGCATGCTGAGTTCAAATTGCAAGGTTATGGACATGTAATTTGGTCATGAACAAAGTGAATTTTTGCCATATTGTGAAATTCGATTCTCCCTAACCATGAGGTTGTTTGATGAGTTCTTGGACATTTTTGAAAGCTTGGAATGTGTACTACAATCCATCTTTGAAATGCAAATTGAAATTCCAAGTGGAAGTGTATGTAAAATGGTCTTGAAGTGGGGTAGAAAAACTTGTCAAAATAGGTCAAAAATTCACTAAGTTAAGAATGGTTTAGTGCCCTTATTCAAAAATTTGTAACTTGAGATACAAGCTTCAAATGAGAAAACTTTGTGAATCAAAGTTGTAGATTATGCAACAAGCTACAACTTTCATGTTTTGACTTTTGTTTGAATCCAAATGAATCATGGTGAAAAAGTGGGGCAAAGTTGGGAAAAAATTAGGGTTTTCCATAACTTAGAAAAATTCTAAGTTATGAAAAATTCCATTTTAAAACCCTAATTTGCATTTCTTGGTTTCTTGGTGAACAAGTTTCATGATTTGGCATGTTTTGATGAAAAATGAATCTTGACTCTTGATTTTGACCAAAAAGTCAAAGTTTGACTTTTCAGTGTACAGTCAAAATTGATCAATTGACTGGGAAATTCAACTGTCAATCTTGTGTACTTGGGATCTTTTGAGCTTGATGAATGTGTCAAGACCATTTCATGGGGTCCTTGAGTCCATATGTGAGCTTGGTTTGCCATTGGCTAGGTCAAACAGTCAAAAATTGCCTTTGTGCAGTCAAAACCCTAAAAATGACCATTTTGCCCTTTTGGTGATCTGATCAAATTTCTTGTGGAATTGTGATCCAAACTTGATCAAATGGTCCATATGAGTTCATAATGTTGATGTGGGTCAATTTTCATGAGATTTGACTGTCAATTGGCCACAATTGACTTTTTCCCCAATACAGCTGATTTCTAGGTCATCTGTCCAATTGACTGGGCAAAACTTGGGATCAAAACTTGAAACTTGGTATGGGTAAACTTGGGAGTCCAACATGAAGCATGAAAGTCATCTTAGGCATTTTAGGTCAAAGCATCTTTGTTCAAACACAAACCCTAATTTGAGTCCACAGTGCAAGGAGAAGTCTTGAGTAGAGGAAACCCTAATTGGATTTTGATCTTCAAAGGTCTTGTGATTAGAAAATGTTGAGGAAATGGGAGGGCAAATTTTGGGGTACAACACCTGGGGATACCATTGATGAGTTATGTTGGAAGATGAACTCCGCTGAGGATATGAAGACTTCGCCGGGGACGATCTTTCCGTGGTTTTCAGCTGAGGATAACCCAGTTATATCCTGGTGGGGA